GGGCCATCCTACAGGCACCGATTTAAGTGCAGGGTTGAGGCTTTCGGTGTTCCACATCAGGCCACTTCGAGGGTTCGGCTTAAGGTGTTTAGGGTAGCATGGCATTTAGAGTTAAGGTAACGTGACACTTAGGATCTGGGTCCGATGGTATTAGGATTCAGGGTGCTCTGGTTGTCCATGTTTTCAACGACGCCTCTCTCGTATTGATTCTCTCTCTATCTCTCGCTCTCTGCCGCTGCATCGGGATGGTCCCGCTGAGGGAGGCAGCATTCCGCCAGCAAAACCTGCACAAAATCGCTACCTTTCCTCGCACCGGGTTTACCATTGACAGTGCTCACCAAACGTCTTAAGCTCAAACCTTGCAATGGCTGTAGATTGCGAATCCCAGCAGACTTGATTTCTCCAAGCCTTAGCTCCGGCCGAGTTGCATCTTGCAACATGCCAACCACCTGGACACCAACAGGCGATACCGGGAGTTTAAAGATAATGCAGAACACTGCTACAAGTACACAATGGCTACCTATCCTAATATGGCGGTTTCCGAAAATAGGGGACCCTAATATAGTACCCTAAATAGTAGGATCCTTCTTATAAGGACCCCCAAAATAAGGTACCCCCCAATTTTCGGAAACTCCCAAACCCTAAACCCTTTATAGAACCCTTATAGATCCCTTTAAGGAACCCTTAAATAAGGTACACCCCCCAAGTTTTCGGAAACTCCCATATAAGTGGGACCATAAGTCCTGAAGTTTCGGAAATACCCAGTTACTGGGTTTAGGGTTTAGGGTTTAGGGTTTAGGGTTTAGGGTTTAGGGTTTTAGGGTTTAGGGTTTCCCTAGCTCAGTAGGGACCCAGCAAAGCACCTAAACAAAGATCATCATGTTGGGATACACGCCACTCAAGCAAGCCACTCACTGGCCCAAAACCCCAGGAAATAGTAGAAGTTGAAACTTTCAGAATCGACTACCTTGAAAGATCCTCAAAAGTTGAAAAGTTGAGTTTACAGCCAAATAAGGGAAGGAGATCCCTCTCGAGCTTTATTGTGTGAGTTCCCAAACCTTGCGACGGGAACCATCAAGCCACAGAAACACGAAAGCCCAAAAACTATCTAGAAACTACATCGGCATGTTACACAAAGAGGTAGGTTGTGGTAGGTCAAAGTTGAACTTCCACAGCTCTGAGCTCGAGCATATCCCAGGGCGGAACCTAACAATGGCTGGTTCCAGGATGCTTAAACCTAGACTCAGTGCAAGTTTTATACTAAATACGGAGACAGAAAGAGATAGGGTCCAAAGGCACTGCGGGGGGCAACCTGGCACAGCCTGAAACCGTGAGAGCCCGAAGAGACGACAACCTGCAGATGCCAGCAAGCTTGGATGCCGCGGTGCTCGAGCGGTTTCCTCTTTCTGTATACGGTCGTGCAAATCCTGGGTTTGGCTGCAAGTTGAAGCAGGGAGGGGGAGAGGATCAGAGTATACACTGTGATGAATCAGAACAACATTAACAACATTCCGAGTACGTCTGAGATTTATGGCAAATGAACTAACATCACATGGACCAGGGCACCGTATTGAGTTGGCGTACTTCGGACCTGACCGCTTTGTTACGGCACCAGCAAGCCTAAAAGTGACTTTAATCAAAACGGAACAAGATCTGGAAGCAGAAACGGTAGCACGAGACATAGCAGCCAGGGCCATTCACTGGCGAGAAACGAACAGCAGGTCTGATAGGACGTCTGGAATTTCACGTGTATGATAGCCCAGCTCAAGGCATGCTAACAGATTGCAGTACCTCATGTCATCTGACCCCTTTCCATCTGGATTACAGCACGTCTAGCACATCGAAAGCTCAACCATAAAACTCCAACGCAATGCACTAACCAATGGTTTTGGGGTTCCCTTGGCTCTTTAGCTCCTTATCAAGTAGGGATTATCATCACCCCTGGCTCCTTAGCTCCTGCAATATCAATGGTTAGGCAAGCTTAGAGCCCCAAGCCCTGACACCCAAAGTCCTGCTTCCCCAAGCCGTGCAAGACCCTACATTTCCAATAACACTTTAAAAACCCGCAAAATCAAAGCTTACGAAACCTACTGCATCTTTCGGCTGTCCGAATGCAGTGGCTTGCCAAGCCGAGCGTCCGCATGAAGTTGGCGCAGTCGCTCTTTCAACGGTCCTTCGTGCAGATCTGGGTGCGGTTGAGAGGTTTAAGGAGGCTCGGGGTGCAGTGTAGTCTAGATGCTGCAGGTGTCCATAGGATTTAAGTCAGTTTCGATTTAATGGCTGAGGCGCAAGGCAGAGAAAACAGGCTTCGGAATGGGTCTGGCTGACCAACATGTAGAGCATGAACGACTCAAACACAGCTCGGAGACCCGCCTCTACCCCAAAACCCCATAAGACCTTTTTGCAACAGGCCTTGTTGTCCAGCAGCCCGGTCAACCCAAACACACACTCCCCTAACCATAACACCTAAAACCTAAACCCTAAACACAAAAAACCCAAAATCCTAAACCCTAACCTCTAAACCCTACACCCCTAAACCCTAAACTCTAAACCGTCCCTAACCTCAAACCTCTTCGGCTCGAAGTGCGCTGTGCGCCTTCTTCTGCAGCCAGGAGCTGGAGGCGGTCGTAAGCCCGGCGCTGCACCTTCGGAGAAATTGGGGGCTGCGGGGTCTATCAAACAGCTGGAACAGTCTAAGAGTTGTAGAAGGGAGGCCTTCTACTTGGAGGGTCAGTAAGTAGGTAGTAAGTAGACTTATAAGTACCCTAAAAGGGACCCTAATTGGGGTTATGGTACTTATACGTCCTTAAAATAACCAGGAGTGGTTTTACTAGTAAAGCCGTCTTCTATATTAGGGGTTTTTCGATTCGGGCTGAGGACGAGAAGCAGAACGATAGTAACCGTGCAGCGGCAGAGAAGGAAGAGGCAACCCAAGGCTAAATGAAAACGGAAACCTGAATCCTAACCCATAACCGAAGAGCCTGCTGAAACCCTGAACCCGACAGTAAACCCTAGAAGCCTTCGCCTTAAGCCCGTTCAACCCCAAGAACCCTTGAGGCGCGAGCCTCCACATACTGCTGGAGCTTCGACGCCACCATACCAGGACCTGGCATGTTGGGGTCCGAAGCAACGGGGCACCCTAGCGGTTTTGTGGTTGATGCTTCAGAGGCATTTCGTATTGTGGCCTTCGGGACCCTGAGATGCTCGTCGTTCAGAGCCTTGGTGAGGGAGGCGCTTGTGTTTCGCATTTCGCTGCTGTTGAGGAGACAGGCTTTCGGCAAGTAGTGGGCGGGCGGTCTTGGCGTTTGTACAGGCGGTCGCATCACCGCGCGATCTCCTCGCCCTTGCCAGGACCGGAAAGCCGAACCTCAAAATCGAACGCCCCAAGCCGAAACCTGAAGCCCGAAACCCTAAACCCCCAGACCATCAACCTTACAAATCCTAGGTCTTAGGGTCTTCAGTGAAGACCCTAAGCCCTCAACCCTACTTGGAGAATCGTGAAACTTAGTAGGGTTGAAAGTACATTCCTCGGCGTTATAAGTAACGACAAGTGTAGTTTCCTTGCTAATAACCCTAGCTACTAAGTCAGAGGATCCTTTAAGCCAGCCCTAAGCCATAAACCCTACACCCTTTTTTTGCATCCAGCCTGCAAAGCCTCTGCTACACCTTTAACACCCTAAACCCTAAGCCCTAAACCTTAAACCCTAAACCCTAAACCCTTAACCTGAAACCCTAAACCCTAAACCCCTAACCCTTCAACCCTAAACCCTAAACCCTTAACCTTAAACCCTAAACCCTAAACCGTCTTAAAACCCTTAACCCTAAACCCTAAACCCTAAACCGTCTTAACCTTAAACCCTAAACCGTCTTAACCTTCAACCCTAAACCGTCTTAAAACCCTAAACCGAGGGGCTGAGCTGTCCAACGGTGGACGCCAGATCTTCGGCGATGGAGCCGGAGGTCCCCAACAAACTCTTAGGGGAGCCTCAGATGTCGGCTTTCGTGGGGGTTTAGGGTTTAGGGGTTTAGGGGTTTAGGGTTTAGGATTTAGGGTTTAGGGTTTAGGGTTTAGGGTTTAGGGTTTAGGGTTTAGGGTTTAGGGTTGAGGGTTTAGGGTTTAAGGGTTTAGGGTTTAGGGTTTAGGGTTTAAGGGTTTAGGGTTTAGGGTTTAGTTCCCTCCTACCTAGCAAGGACGAAGCCCGCATTGCAGGGAGTCTCAGAAGAACAGCTGTAGGGCAGTAGCTGCTTAAGAGGGTTTAGGGTTGAGGATTTTAGGGCTTGGGGTTTCAGGGCGTTAGGGTTACGGGTGGGGGAGTGGGGGCGTTACGCTTCGTGTAGCCGTTGTTCATAATCCAGGCTCAATTCTCGGTTGCAACGACGTCCTGATGTAGAGACCTGACTAGATTCATCGAACGCTCTTTCAGAAGGACCATACAAGTAGCTGTGTGGATACTGGCATTCAGGCCCGCTTGAAAAGGTGGGTTTCGAATCGGTGTCTACGTAAGCTATCCGCTTGTTCCGCACATCCCGGACATTGTAGCTCTGATCGAGAGTCTACCTGAGTCTACCTGCAAAGTCCACTCTGCTGACATGTCGACAAACATCCGGAAACCTTCCAACCCAAAGACTGCATGCAAGATTCTTCCACCAACCCCTTCAACTCGAATTACAATCTACGACCTCAAACCCCAAGCACAAAATGCCAAAGCGTTGAAGCTCCCGTTCTACCGAGGCTGAGAAAACATCCACGGCTCGAAGCTATATGAAGGCAAGATAATTAGTTGCAGGCTTTCAGGCCAGGGTATCAGAGCTGATATCAGCTCATAAAAACCGCCCTCCGGCAATCATGGAAAGTTCAGCCTGAAGGACTCAGAAACGCCCTTTTTGCCACTGGACTCAAGTCTAGCCAGTTTAAGAAACGCCCTAAACCCTAAACCCTAAAACCCTAAAACCCTAAACCCTAAACCCTAAACCCATAAACCCTAAACCGGTCGAATCTCCTGGCTGCCGCGGCGTCGTCGGGCTGGAGCTTAGCTTCTTGACCTCGATCCATGCTCCAGTTCTCCTACGCCCCACACCCTACAGTAAAAGCCAGAAAGTTGGAATATGATTATCCTAAGCCCTTTATGGTAGAATATAAGGTATCCTACCCGGAAACCATATTCCAACTTTCTGGAGTTCCCAGTACCTGCCGAATGCCTAAACCGCGAAATTATGCTACATCCTAAGCCCCTAGAGGCCCCACTAGTAGGCAAGAGCCCCCTAAACACTAAAACCGCTAAATTATGCGAAATCCTAAGCCCCTGGAAGTCCCACTAGTAGGCAAGAGCCCGCTAAAGCCTAAAACAAACTGCAGCACCGTGGCGAGGCAGGGGCGGAAGGTGCAGTCGCGGAGCCTGCAGTCCGTGCACGCAATCCGCAATCCGACAACTGCCCTAGCCGGATCCTCAAAGGCTGTGAAGCCTGCGGCCCCTCGGCCCCTGATGGGGTTACCTTTTAGGATCCTTAATATAAACTCGGTTAAGCCAAAAAAGGCACTACAATGGAGACTATAAGTTGTGACCAAAGTTGTGCTTAAGCGCATTTTTCTCACAGCGTTCCAGAGATATTTAATCGGGGTTTCATTCTCACAACTCGGACAATCCAGGCGAGGTGTATCGGGCTTAGTCAGCGTGAACCAAGTGGAGCCTCTGGTATTTCTACGGTTTAGCTTAGGTTACTGCAAGGGCTGTTATAATATCAGGATCTATCAGGCAAAACTCGGTGATCCCTGGTACTAGGGTCCCTCATCGAAGTCCTTAGACTGAACCCCACCTCAAACCAATGCCGATAGGTCAAGGGTTTTTGACCCTTTTTCCCCCTGGAAAAATCCCTAAACCATTAGCCTTAAACCTTAAACCCTAAACATTAAAACCTAAACCCTCAAACATGCTTCAGTCCTTACGCCTACTTGTGGGGAAAAGGGGAGGCGAGGGTTGTACAAGTGCAGCTTCTTCCGGACGGGAGGTGCTTCGGGAGCCGGGTTTTACGCTCTGGGTTTGGGTTTAAAGGCTGAGGGTTGTCCTGCACATTTGAGTTAAAGAGCAGCACAACGCGCGAAAGAGGACTACAGCTTCATGTGGGCATCATTCTACCAATGATTTTTATTTCGTCTCAATCGCACCTGCAAATGAAGTCATGTTCCGACAGGTGCCTGACAGGGAGCCCTACTACCACAGAACCTCCACAGCCGAAATATCCACTGTCGGCAAGAACCTACGTACCCCATGTCCTAGCCGAGATCAACTTGTATTGGAGCTAATCATGAACCACAACATGCCCTTTGGACCCTAAACCCTCAACCCCCTACAACCTGTAAACCCCCAAAACCCCCTAAACCCAAAAAGCCCATAGTCAACCCTAATCCCAAGAACCTACAGTCAACCCTAAACCCCGGACGTTTTGGGGTGAGGATCGGCAAGGTCTGCCAAGACGCTCGTCCATTTCCCTTATCTTCTGCTCCTCCGGAAGCCTGGGTGAACTCTGCGGTTTAGGGTTTTCGGCGCTCGCACTCGGCCGGAGCAGGCGAGGCATGTGTTTCGAAGTCTACGTTGCGGTGAGACAGTGTGGCAGCAGCCGTTGGCCACAGACAACGATCCGACGATACAACCCTCGGGGTTTAGGTGTTTTAGGGGTTTGGGTTCGGGGGTTTAGAGGTTCGGACTAATCAGTGTAAGGCGGCATCTGGAGGTACCCAGGCGGACCACTCTTCCCTGCTTGCGAATCTAGACAACTTTCAGGGGTGTATGTGAACCCTGACACCCTCAACCCTTCCCAACTTTGCATCCGGGCTGTGAACCCGGAGAGCCCAATACCCCTTAGTTCAGGAATATACCTTAAACAATAAGGGGGTTCAAATTCTGATTTCAGCTATATTCCTTAATTAAGGGGTATTGGGCTCTCTGGGAAGCTCCTTTCCAAACCCTAAGCCCTAGGCCCTAAACCCTGAACCTCTTACCAAAAATGGCTGAGGCTTCCCTCTTGCAACACCCGCTCCCTCGGGCCTCGATCGGTGCTCCTGGCGACGACGAATATTCTCCTGCAGCTAAGAACTAGAAGCGGATTTTGGGCTACATGGCTATACAAAAGTGATTACCCAGAGAGCCCAATACCCCGTAATTAAGGAACATACCCTGAATCACAAAATGAGCCCCCTTATAGCTAAAGGTACATTCCTTAATTAAGGGGTATTGAATACCTGACCTGACGACTCTAGCATGCCAGACTGGTCTCCGGCATTTCTAGCTCTTTGGGGCCACGACATGCCGCAGGCGGCAGGGGCTTCCTGGTTTCTGGCGCTGGACTCTTGTATTTACTTACTCAGAGAAACCGCATACTCTTATTGCTTCAAAGTTCTGCGTACACCCAGAGAGCCCAATACCCCCTTCATTGAGGAATATACCTTAAACTATAAGGGGGTTCATACTATGCTTTAAACTATGTTCCTCAATTAAGGGGTCTTGGGCTCTAGAACCCTCGACTGGAATCTGAAACGCCAAACCCTGGAACGCGCTTGAAGGTCTACCAAGCCTTCGATGAAGGAATGTTAAAACCCACTGGGCGCTGTAAGGGAGGATGCCGCCGAAACGCAGCTATGCATGTAGGGATAGCTAGCTAGCTAGCTAGCTATCTAGATAGATGGATAGATAGATGAGATAGGTACGTAAACGAAGTGAATGTGTATATTTGTATATACACACCTAGACTCGTTTGAAATTCATAAGCGACCCACAATATAGGCCAGTAGGCTTCTAGAGAAACTGTAGTGTCACAGGGCTCAGCCCGAGGCACTGCCGAACTCATGGGCGAGGCAGCAAGCTGCAATTCGTCCAGTGGTTTAGGGGTCAGGACCTGAGTTTTAGCGAAGGGGGTTGAGTTTTGCCTCCTGTTGATTGTAGAGCTTTGCCTCCTGTTGATTGTACATTTAAATTTTATTGCCGAGGGTTCTGAAAGCCTGTGCTTAATCACACCGCGTCTTGTCACCCTCTGCTTTTGGAAGTCCCGCCTGTTCAAACCCCAGTGAACAGCAGGAACTACAATGTGAAGAAACCAAGATCCCCACTCCCACAAGCCTACAACCCAGAAATGACCACCACACCCTACAGTACATAACCGTAAGCTCATACCTTCGCCCGAGTGACATGCCTCAACCAAATGTCCCAAAAAACAAACCATAATGTAGTCTTAATAATCAGAGTAAGGTTGTCGGGCCCATCATACTATGCTGCTTATGATAAGGAACTGCCAAAATAGCATGGGTAATTATCAAGGCCCCTTTATTACCACCCAAAGCCCCGAATGTTAAACCTTCCAGGAGGAGCTTATACCCCTTAGAACCATCATAAAAAGTAGTATGTTAAATATTCTCTTGGGCTTTACCTAAGGAGACCACAGGAGCCTCCTCGCGCTCCAGGTGAGACCTCGAGTCCACGTTGCCCCGGTAGTAGCGCCGGCGCTGCCTCGGTCTAGACTCGTCTAGCACTTCCAGGCTACTGTAAGCTACCAAAAACGACCTCTGTGTAGTTTCTTATAAAAAATGGGATTATAAGGCTCCGACACAAAGGGGATTTTGGTGGGTGAAGGTACTTGTACATGTACACAGATAGGTATGCGTGCCGTTCATTCACATGTGATATACGTACACATGTACATGTACATGTATCTGTACATCTACATAGACATATACATGTACACGAATCAATGCAGAAAATGTACAGGTACATGTACGCACACATTTGTGCATACCTATACACTTACATGGCTTCTCGGACGCAAACATATGTGAAATTGCATGCGCATGTAAATGAACGTGTTCATGCATGTACACAGATGCTTATACATATACATCAACCTATCTCTATACCTCTGCCTATACATACACACACAGACGTATACATGTTTGTACGTCTAGCGTTGCATTTTGCCGACTCCCAGTGGTAGCTCCGGCCAAAAGCCCGTTTCGGCATCTCAAACCTACGGCTCTAGATCTCCCAAATATACCAAAAAATGGAATATGCCCGGAATAAAGGCTTTCGTTTTTTGGGGCTTAAGGCTTTAAGCTTTAGGTAGGGCTTAGGACTGGGCTAATGGCTTTGGTGTCATGGGGGTCTTCTGGGAGTTGATGAAGAAGAGGGCCGGTAACAAAGTCTTGTATGGATGCTGTACGGATTGAAGTGGGGGTTCAGGGCTCCCGAAAAGCCCAACACACCTTACAAGCAAGCAAGCAGTAGCAACTGCCGAAACCCTCAATCCCCTAAACCCTACAGAAAACCCCAAAAAGTTGGAAACCCCATAGCCTCAATCCTTAACCGTAATGTATAAGGAACCCAAGCACTACTTGGCCTTAATCAGGTTTCCAACTTTATGGAGTTTAATGTAAGAGTGGCTTTATTAAACCGGGTGACAATTAAAATATTCCCCGGGCCAGAATTTCCGGGCGCAAGAGGAGTTTAAAGGCAAGGGCAGATTTGGCCAAACAACTGATCATAATTTTCCAGTCGCAATAATAAACGGGGTGACAATTAAAATATTCGGGCTCGGAAATCCCCAAAATTCTACAGACGAGGCTACGTATTTAGCAGAGACTCAAACAAAGAGGACCCTAACCCAGCCAGCAGAGTGCAGTTCGGCACAGACGACACTGAACTACTAGCTCGCAGAGTGCAGTTCCAGACTGTTTCAACTACACCCCTCGGCAGATCCAATGGCATCCAGAGATCTGTGAAACAGAAGAACTCAGGCTGCCTTAGGCGGCAGACCCAGCTCCAGACGCAGTTTGTTCAGCAGATACCGCTCCAGCTTCGCAGGATCACAGTCCAAACATCCACTTTGCCAGTGGCATCTGGAACAGACGCCCAGGCCTGTCAGACGGACGTGCTCGATGCGAGATTTGTCCTCTTCAGACAAATCACTGGCCTCAGGCTCCTTGTTCAGAGTGAGGAGCTGCTTGGCCAGATTCCAGAGCTTCAGGCCTGTGGCAGAGGCCTCTGCAGACTTCGCTGCCAGTTTTTCAGAGCGCAGGCGGTTGCTCTTCAGAAGCTTGTCCAGAGACTTCTCCTTGTCCAGAAGCTCTTTTGAGAGCTTGGCCTGCTCTCCAGACAGCTGGATGAGCCAGGCCTTCAGCTCAGACATGATCTCCAGAACCAGCTTGTGGCGAGAGCCATGAGAACAGGGTCCTTCCAGACAGAGAGGGTACAGGATCCAGAGCATGTTGGCCAGAACCCAGAAGCCGCACTCGTCAGACTTCTGGGTGCCAGAGGAGCTTCTCTCTGGCAGAGTCTCTGCCGGCAGAAGCAGAGACAGAAGCCTGGCAGCGTTCACAGAGCACTCCTCGTGCTTCTCAGACAGGCTGTCCAGATACTTCACAGAGAAGCTTTCCGAGAGGTCTTCTCGCTGCAGGACCAGAAGGGTCCAGTGGTTCGGAGAGTGCCCCCAGACGGGCACGAACAGCAGCTTGTTCTCAGAGCGAAGTCTGTCCAGAGCAGTCTGCAGAAGCTCGGGGCGGTCGTGTTCGGCGAGGAGCTGCCCAGAGAGCTTCGGGTCCACCATGCAGATCTTGTTGTCCAGGAACCAGTTCTCGTCGGAGTCGCTCAGATTGTACCGCAGAAGTTCCCAGCCGTACCGAAGATGCTGGTCCAGAAGCATCTGCGGGAAAGACTTCTTGAACTTCAGCAACTCCACAGGCTCCGCAGCGAAGAACCCACCAGAAGCCTCCAAAAAGAGGGCTGAGCCACCGCAAGCTCGCAGAACAGTCTGCTTCAGCTCCCTCTTCAGGCGCAGATTCTTCCACTTCTTCGGAGTCTGCCAGAGTGGATCAACCTCGCAGACGTCCTTGTCAGAGAGGATCACGGTGGCACAGGCATCCCCTACACCTGAGCAGACAATGAAACAGAAACTGTCTTAATTATTGAAGAAAATAAATTAAATGCGACTCAGTGGCCAATCAGAGACACCTGGTTCGTCAGAAGGTTGTGCATGGAGCACTTGCCAGACTTGCCACAGGTGTGGTCCTCTCGCAGAATCCTGCAGACTCGGCCGTAGAGAGGGCCCTTCGTTGCCTCCTTCAGCTCAGAGGCCTTCTCAGCGACGGGGTCAGCAGGAGCAGGGCCAGGAACCAAAGCAGAGTCGCCGGAGGGCTTGTCGTCCAGAGCCTTGGCCTTCGCCAGAGCCTTCGCAGCGTGGGCCAGGGCCGTCTTTTTCTTTTGCTTCAAAACGGCCTTCTTCACGACAGAGGGCTTCTTCTCAGAGGCTCTCGGCACCAGACGTTGCAAAGCTTGCTGTCGGGACATCTGTGTCAGACGATGCCTCATGGCTTCCAGAAGCTTTCCTCGAAGCTTCCGCTTGGCCAGAGTGATCATCTGCTTCACGTCTCGCTTGACAGTTTTCTTGTGCAGAGTGTCTTTGTCCGCAGAGAGCTGCTTCTGCCAGGCTGCACGTTGCAGGTCCAGAGAAAGTGTCAGGACGCCAGATTCGATGCAGGGGAGCTGCAGATCCAGTGGCATCTCGTGCACGTTCAGAAGGGCCTCGGAGACCTGGTTTTCCAGAGCCTCGTCCTGCGAGTCCGAGTGGTAGTAGCTCCATTCCACCAGATCCGCCACGACTTTGGCTCCGTGCAGAGCAGACCAGTCCGGCTGGGCTGGAATGCCAGATGCATCCAGCCAGGAGTAGCGGTCCTTCAGCCAGGCTGGCTTCGTCCTTGCAGAACCTCGGCTGCCAACATGTCGAGGAAAAAAAAAGCTACAGATTACTTGAAGCTGGAAAAATAGAGGAGAGCAGAGCGGCCCATGGAGGCGCCGCAGCAGTCTTCGTCTTTCAGAGGCACCAGAGTCTGCTTGGTGAAGTCCGGTCTGTAAGCCAGCAGACCGTTGCGGCGAAGACCAGACACGATCCAGTCTTTGGAGGCCTGTCGCTCAGACATCTTCGTCTGAGCTTGCACCACAGCCGTCGCCATGTCCAGATGGCTCGCTCGCCAGAACTCCTTCTCGCCAGCTGCCAGCAGAGCAGTCTGACCGGCATGCCTGCAGGCACGTATGGTTTAGGACAGTGTAATTAAACCGGACATCAGAGAAGGGAAGCAAAAACAAAATGATTAGAGCAGCCTCAGGTCGTCCATGGCAGACCTTGCCAGACTTTTGAAAGATCTGGCATAGTCTGTGTCAGTCAGTTGCAGACTCGCAGTCAGTTTCGGTCCAATGACCGTCTGCAGACTCTGCGAGTAGAACAGAGACTCTGCCCCAGAGACAGACCAGGCCGCCGCGAAGCAGTCGCGGACATGGACAGAGGCAGGTGCCAGAGCAGCCAGCTCCTCCTGAGCCCAGGCGAAGATGATGCCATCCACATTCGCAGAGGGCTGGCTCATCAGACTGATCTGGCGAAACAGAGAAGGATCCTTGTCCCGGGCCTGCCTCCAGCCACGGAGCAGATTGCCAGCAGAAGAGCCTGCTTTGCGGCAGATCATCTTGCCAGAGAACTCAAACGTCTCGTCTCGCAGAAATCGACCAGAGCTGTCGATGTTGTTCAGACGAGCGTGAGAGCCGTGCACCACCAGAAGACCAGGCAGAACTTGCCCGCTCAAACCAGACTCGCCCTCCAGAGCAGGGTCTTTGCAGAGGCCGTACAGAGCTTGCCTGGCCTCGTAGGTGACACGGTAGCGCACAGAGTCCGCGTCCAGAAAGGCCCTCTTCTGCCTCTGACCAGAGGCACGGGCAGCTTCAGCAGACGGCTTCACAGCCTGCAGCAGAGGTGCCACCAGATCGCCAGACTTCACCTGGTCAGAGGAGGACAGATGGTGATTCTTCAGAGCCTCTCGCAGATGCTGCTGGGGCAGAGGGTTGTGCTCCCACTCAGCAAACAGCTCTCGCTCGCTGCCAGACTTTATCCACAGAGGGATTTGGTCGGAGCAGATCACGACCAAATCAGAGACATGGTCTCTGAACTCAGAGGGCTTGGCAACCCTGGTCGCCAGATCCTCCAGAGGTGCGAAGCAGGCTGTCCACAGAGTGCGGTCCAGACTCTGGTAAGTGAGCTTCGCAGAGACCATCTCCTCAGACTCAGACAGCTTCGTCTTCAGATCCGGCTCCAGATTCTTGGCACCGACATCCAGCAACAGCTGCCTCAGACGGTTCTTGCCAGAATCTTTCGCAGCAGACTGCAGCTGCTTCTCGCCTTCAGAGATCTTTTGATCCAGACGACCCCGCTCGAAGGAGTCTGCAGAGGCACTCTTCGCAGACTTGAGCTTCAGAAGCTCCTGGCTCAGCAGAAGCTGCCACTGCGACAGCAGATGCCGCTTCTTCACAGAGTGCCCGTAGGCACGAGACTCCTCGAACCAGGTCCGCAGAGCGGTCTTCACGGCAGAAAACTCTGTCTTGCGGCCAGCTCCTGTCAGACGGAAGCCTTGCCCTCTTTTTCTGGCAGTAACCTTCGCACGGCCCTTACCAGACCTGGCAGAGAGGTGCTTGCC